TTGCAACAGCGTGTGAGGGGTCTGGTGATCCAATCCGTACAATGGGAGACATCTGGTGACCTAGTCTGTACAATTAGTTTGAAGGGTCTGAGCCCTAGCTCTGACAATACAAATGGAAACTTAGTATAACTAGAATAATGAAATGTTTTGGCTTTAGTTATGAAATGCCTAGCCATACAATTAGTGTAGCTATTGCCTCAGCCTGACAACTGGCATAGTCGTGTAGCTTTATACCTTCCAAACCCATTGTTGGGGTGGGTTACAGACCCTTCAAACCCATTTGGGCTGGGTCACAGACCCCTCATATGCCATGCAGACAGGGTCACAGACCCCTCATACACAGGTCACAAGCTAGGTAATTGGAAAGATCCTGGGAGCCACTGGCAAGGTTGACATGCTTTATTCCAATGGGAGCTCAGCTTCTAGCCTCCTCAGCAGCAGCCTGCAACCTACAACAGCATATAACAGCCTACAACAGCCTCCAGCAGATCTAGCAGATCCAGCAGCAGCAGCTGCTGCTGCCACCCCAGGTGACCTCCCGGGGGCATCCTGGGGGCACTGTGTATCAGAGCCATTCGTCCTTTATACTTAAGTCAGATTAGCAAGGAACACCTGGGTGCACATGCCTCCTTGATGGTATCAGACAGCCCTTTGCACACTATATAACCTCTACCACCCCCACACCTGGTGCTGTCCCCTTTTCAGGGCAGCCCTGGGCTGCTTGCCTCTCTGAGCACAGCTCCATGGATTTCTTTCTTTAATAAAGCTTGAACAGTAGCCAGCATCTCAGCTCACTTTCTTTCACCAAGGACCCTTTTGACCAGTTACCTAGCTCATAGAACTGTGTGAAGGGGTCTGGTGATCCAGCCTGGTGTATGAAGGGTTTGTGATCTAGTCTGTAAATGGGTTTGAGGGGTCTGAGAGTTCCAGACCCAGCCCTAGCTCAACAATCAGCCCAGTTGGTGCAGGATTACCGGCAGGTAAAAGAGCCCAACAACTGGCATGGTCAAGTAGCTTTGCAATTGGCATCACGAACAGGATTAAGAGCCAGACAATTGGCGCTGTCAACAGGATTTCAGCCACGGCAGATTGCAACAGCGTGTGAGGGGTCTGGTGATCCAATCCGTACAATGGGAGACATCTGGTGACCTAGTCTGTACAATTAGTTTGAAGGGTCTGAGCCCTAGCTCTGACAATACAAATGGAAACTTAGTATAACTAGAATAATGAAATGTTTTGGCTTTAGTTATGAAATGCCTAGCCATACAATTAGTGTAGCTATTGCCTCAGCCTGACAACTGGCATAGTCGTGTAGCTTTATACCTTCCAAACCCGTTGTTGGGGTGGGTTACAGACCCTTCAAACCCATTTGGGCTGGGTCACAGACCCCTCATATGCCATGCAGACAGGGTCACAGACCCCTCATACACAGGTCACAAGCTAGGTAATTGGAAAGATCCTGGGAGCCACTGGCAAGGTTGACATGCTTTATTCCAATGGGAGCTCAGCTTCTAGCCTCCTCAGCAGCAGCCTGCAACCTACAACAGCATATAACAGCCTACAACAGCCTCCAGCAGATCTAGCAGATCCAGCAGCAGCAGCTGCTGCTGCCACCCCAGGTGACCTCCCGGGGGCATCCTGGGGGCACTGTGTATCAGAGCCATTCGTCCTTTATACTTAAGTCAGATTAGCAAGGAACACCTGGGTGCACATGCGCAGTTAACATATTTACGTCAAATAGGCGAGGTCATGCTCGGCAAGATTCTGAACAGCTGAGGGAGACTGACCATTTATTTCACTTTCCTTACACCTTTTAAAAGGAATTAATTGTAACATATTTTAATATGTAGGTATTTTAAATGTGCATATGTATATACATTTATATTATGCCAAATGAAAATATCTAAAGCTTTAAACTTTGGCATTTAAAATATAATCTTATCAATTGTAAGACAATATTCTTACTATATTGATCTTAACCTCTTAATCTGAAAATCATGAAGAAAAACTGTTTCTGGGGCCGGCCCGGTGGCGCACTGCTACAGTGCGCCGCTTGGGAAGTGCAGCAGGCGCTCCCGCCGACGGTTCTGATCCCACATACAGACCGGTTCCCGCTCACTGGCTAAGCGAGGCGTGGGAGCAACACCGAGGGTTGCGATCCCGTTGCCGGTCCCGGTCCGGTACGGGCGCGACACTGAGGGTTGCAATCCGTTGCCGGACATGAAAAAAGACAAAAAGGAAAAAAAAAAAAAATGTTTCTGTAGACAAGATAGGGAAT